AGGAGCAGGGGGGGCGGAGCGTTCAGGGGAGGGTGTGGAGTTGGGGCGGGGAATTTGGAAAAGGGGTGGAGTTGGGGTGGTGCCGGGACGGGGAAGGGTCTGGGAAGGGGGCGGGGGTGGGGGCGAGGCCCCTTGGAGTGTCCTCTTTTTGTTATTTTAAAATATGGTAACCCTACTACAGGCTGGAGGCATTGGATGGGCTGGAAAAGGCTAAGGAGACTGGATGGGAGTATTAGTGAGTTGGCAAGGGGATGGCAGTGGTGGTGTGTTAGTAGGGCTAGCAGTGGAGGTGTTGTGGGGCTGGAGGCAGGGCAGTGAGGTTAGCAGTGGGGGTGTTGGGAGGGCATCAGGGGTGTTGGACGTTGGGGTCTAAAGGAGTGGGATGTTTCCTGAAACGAATTTGAAAATGTTGATCAGTATGCCTTTCGGGGAACCACATGGGGAAGGGGGGGAAGGGAGAAGAGATAGAAAGAGAGAGAAGGTTGCTTTCCCCTCAGCCAAATGCACAGTACCAGTAGATCATTCCCCCCAGGACTGCAGCCTTCTCCTGTTGCTAGCTAATCTAGCTAGTCTGGTAGCTCAAGTAGTAGTAGTCTGTGCTGCAATGTCCCTGATGATGATGATGATAGGACATGGAGGGTGGAGGCTTACAGTTACAGTTCTGACCATGCAATTAAAAAGTGTCTCATAATGCATATGCATAAGGGAGCCGAATGAAGGTTGCAGAGACAACCTTAATACAAAGGTTGCTTACCTGTATCCAGTTCTTCAAAATGGATTCTGCATATTCATACCATTGGATATGTGCTGATGGTGTCATTGAATGGTGCAATCTTCTACTAGCAGTGCCTAGTCAAACACTCGCATGCCCCTTTCTGTCCCTACCCTCAGCCTCCGAGCATTATGCTGAGGACGAGGCTATAAAAGGGAGGGAGGCAGGAGTTACTGCCTCAGTTCCTTCCACTACTAATGCTGAGCCAGTAGAAAACAGGACCCCGCAAAACAGAGGAAGGAGGGCAGGGCATGTGAACATGCAGAATCCATCTCAAATAATCTCAGTTACAGGTAAGTAACATTAATTTCTTCTTTGACCCTCTTCTCTGCATAGTCCCACTCCTGGTATAGTTTAGTCCATAATACACATTTTAAATAGGATGGTGGGTATGGAGTCCTAACTAAACAAGGACTGAAGCACAGATCTACCAACTGTGCATCTGACCATATATAACAGATAATGTTTAATGAATATGTGTTTTGACTCCACATGGCTGCTGTACAAATTTCTAGTAGTGGAACATGTCTCATACGTGCCACCAATGCTGCCATCACCCTAGTGGAGTGTGCTTAGAGCTGAAGAATGGGAGATCATGATGCACTCTTATAACTTCCTATTATACACTGTCTGACCCATCTTGATAATGTTTGTGCTGATGCAAGATTTCCTTTATCATTACCAGCATATGAAACAAGCAATTTATGCAAAGACCTAAAGTCCTTTTTCCTATTGAAACAGAATGATAAAACTCTTTTTGCATCCAAACAATCAGGGCTGGTGCAACACATTAGGCGACCCAGGCGGTTGCCTAGGGCGCTACAATTTGGAGGGCGGCGACCGCGGCGGTATTTCGGCGGCGGGACCTTCCGCTGCCTAGGGCAGCAGAAAAGCTGGCAGTGCTCCTGCAAACAATGCAGCTTTGATTTGCCCTTGCTCAAATGAGGTCTGGGAAAAAACACCGGTAGACTAATGGACTGACTGACATGGAACTCAAGTGATTTTTTGGTATAAAGCTAGGATGTGGATGAAGAAATACATTGTATTTATAAAAGGTCATAAATAGAGTGTCAGCCATTAAGGCATGAAGTTTACTAATCTTCCAAGCTGATATTATTGCTATAATAAAAGCAGCCTTAATTGATAGATGAAATAAGGAACATGAAAATAAGGGCTCAAAGGGTGGAGACATAAGCTGTGATTGCATTAAGTCCAATGGTGCAATAGAATCTCTTACCGGGGGTACAAATTTAGTAATCCTTTAA